TTGTAAATTTTCAATTTAAAATTTAAATTACATAATCTCTAATAAATTTTTTGTATTAATTTTATGATGACGTTGAAAAATAGATAATTAATTTCCGATTTCCAAATAAAATATTTCAAAAAAAAAGTTTATAAATCTTTCCTCCCACAAACCGTATAAAAAATACCAAGTGATTTAACCATTAAATGCAAGGTTTCGAACTATATGCGAAACTTACTTCAAATCCATCTTCACCAGTGTACCCAGAACGTGATACGTGACTTTCAATGGTTTTGATATTTAAAAAACGGGAAGTCATAAACTTAAAATCTGATAAATCTTTATCACACAATTTTCGAAGAATTTCAGCAGCTAGGGGACCTTTAACATAACAGATTATTAAGTCTGTTAAATATAATACAATAATACATAGATATATTTGAAGTGTGTAGTACCTTGTAAAGCCAGCAGAGCACGATCGTCAATAACTTTTAAATCAACCCATCCACCTTTTTTTTGAAATTCACCCATTTTAGTACGTATATGAGCTAAATCTTTATCTGCACAGGCTGCATTAGATACGACATAAAGATGATCAGCGTGTTTACTAATGACAGTATCATCAATAATTCCACCATTCTCATTAGTGAAAACCGATAAAGTAGAGGAACCAAATGGCATCTCCTCAAGATCGGCAACAACCAAGCTTTCAAGAAAACGTATGCGGTCTTTCCCGAGGATTCTATAAATAAAAATTTATAATAACGTTAAATTTAGAGATGTGAATGAAGAAAATCGAAGATAAAATTGAGTGTCGTTTTCTTACTTAAACTGAAGCATATGTGAAACATCAAATAAAGATGCATATTCTCGAGTATGTATGTGCTCTGACAGTACACCTTGGTTTGCGTAATATACAGGCATAGACCATCCAGCAAAGGGAACCTTTGAAAAATCAAGAAAAAAAAAATTAGTATAATCAAAATTCCAGCATAGATAATAATTATGATGATAACTAACCATTTTACCACCTTTTTCAATATGAAGATTATACAATGGCGTTTGCTTTAACTGAATTATGAACAAATAAATATGCGTATGGTTAATGAAACTTAAAAATAATTATCTATAGTTGTTAGACAAATCTGGTTTCAAATTAAAAAATTAAAGACAAAACTTACGAAAGACGAAACCCCTGACGAAAAACGAAAGCCTTTGCAAACAGTCAAACCTCTCATAGCTTAAGACCATACAAACTTAATAAATTGGTTCTCATAACCAGACCGGGTCAAATACTGCAAAATTTTGAAAAAAATTTAGCTATATTTATTACCCGGATGAATTTTTTTTATATAAAAAATTTTTGAAAGTAAAATTAAAAGCCAGGTTGCTGGACCATTTTTAAATTTATGTTATGAGAACCGTAGTTTATGAAAATGGGCTAATTTACTGATTATCTAAATGATTTTTTTTTAAACCCAATTAAATTATATAAATTCCCAAATATAGAATTTTATGAAGTTGTTGGTCAATCAGAAAAGACTGCAACTGCGTCTCTAGATGGGTGGGTCTTAACTTTTCAACTTTGTCAGGAGTTTCATCTTCCCCTTTTGACAATTTTAGCTTCGATTTTCATTATCATAAAAAACTACTTTGTTTAATCAATTAAGATCAAGCATTTATTATTAAATCGGTTTTTAGTTACCTTCTCTGGTATAGCGGCATAGTTGCGTTTAATGGTTGCCATCGGTAAATAAAGATTAGAGGCCTTACTTGAAAAACCTTTTAGGTTTTTATTAGCGAATGCACCAATAAGCCTCAGATTAAATCCCATATTTTGTGAGAATATAGAGCGAAATATTCAAAGAACTTGGAAAAGCTAAATTTAGTAGTAAACGTTTAAGTTATTTATACTTAAAAAGGTTACTTTCTTAGCTGAATGTTAAGTTATTTTATAATAGTTAAATAGCCGTCTGAAAATTCTTCAATACCATATCTATAAAAACTCTTCTTCGGATACTCACTTTTAATATTCTTTTTATTCTTCGTGTAATTAGGTGTATAAGTTTAATTTTTGTTACAACGCACTCTATTGTAAGAGGATTTATATCGATATTGTACAATCCTGTAAAAAAAGATTTACGAGTAAAAATTCAAGATGGTAATCGTTATAAGTTGTACAAGACAACAATTATGTTGCTAAACTAGAAAAACCTGCGTGATGAAGTACAAATGCTTCTATTTGCATAAACGGTCAGTGTCAAAAAATTTTCAGGTAACGGTAATGATTTAATTAAGAGATCTGCAAGTTGCAGAACATATGACGATATATATATCTTATTCTTTATTATAACAACCGATTTTTGTTATTTCATATTTTTATACTTTTTTTTTCTTTTACGCCAAAACCTTTGAAGTATCTTATTTTGAAAATGGCATTTTGAGACTAATTTGGTTTGCTTCACGTGTGTTAGGCTAATGTGGTAGCCCCGAAGCCTCCCAAGGATTGTATCTTATAATTTCTAAAATGTATAAAAGCCAGTTAATGAAAGAGAGAAGTGTATAAGAGCTCCCAATCAATGAACAAAGTAATGTAGTAATAACGATATGCCTTTTATTAATCTCCAATTATCGTTTCCCCTACCTAAATGGATGATGCTATCCACAGTTGCGACTGGAGCTAAACTGTGCAATCATCTCTCAATCAATCGGGACACTACGTACACTCAATGCTAAGATTCTTTTTGCATTATCAGTTATAGTCAAATATAAAGGTATACATTTAACACTTAATTTCTCATCATAAATTAACTTGGTAATCTATTTAAAGATCTAAATTGAATTCGCATTCAAGATATATTTGATTTTTTTTTTTTTTTTTTTTTT